GAATGGTGATTGTGGAAGGGGATGGGGAGTGGGACACAGTGGTCTTCCAGAGGCTGACTGCTGGTATATTCTCTGACAGATTAATTTTAGAAAAAATTGCTTGTGTAAGATGAAGCTCTGGAAATTTAAATTGATTTTTCTTGAGAACTCTGTTCATTTGTCATTCCAAACCAAACTCATTGCCATTGAGACGATTTGACTTATAATGACCCTGTAAGGACACAGTAGAATTGTCCCATAGGATTTCCAAGGCTGTAAATTGTTAAGCAAACTGCCACATCTTTCTTCCGTGAAGTAGCTGGTGGACTTGAACTGACACCTTTAGGTTGGCACCTGAGTGCTTTAATCTCTACCCCACCAGGGCACTTGCATTAGTCATTCCAGAAAAAAATTTCCAAATTTTAAACAATGTTGACCCACTGCCATCGTGTCAATTCTGACTCACAGCGACACTGTAGAACAAAGTAGAACTACTGCATGGGGTTTCTAAGGTTGTAAATCATCATGGAATCAGACTGACTAATTTTGTCCCATGGAACAGGTCGTGTGTTTGAACACCTTACCTTTTGATTAGCAGCTGAATGCATTAACCACTGCATCACCAGGGCTCCTTTCCTTAGTAACAAGGGAAATACAAATCAAAACCACAATGAGATACCACTTCACACCCACTACAAACACAACAAAAAAAATGAAACTCACTGCCATCAAGTCGATTCCAACTCATAGCGACCCTGTTGAGTTTCCAAGGCTGTAAATCTTTATAGAAGGAGACTACCGTATCTTTTCTGTGGAGCAGCTTGTGGGTTTGAACCGACAACCTTCTGGTTAGTAGCCAAAAATGCCTTAACCCCTACACCACCAGAATTCCTTCCACATCCACTAGGATGGCTATTACAGACACACACACACACACACCCCACCAAGAAAAACAAACCCACAGGAGAGAAGTGTTGGTGAAGATGTGAAAAAAATGTCCTTTGCTGATAGAAATGTAAAATGATGGAGCAGTTGTGGAAGGTAGTTTGATGATTCCTCAAAAAGTTAAAGAGAATTATCATGTTATTGTTATTATCATGTCAGTTGCTGTTGAGTCAGCTCTGACTCATGGCGATCTTAAGTATAACAGAAGGACATGTTGCCCAGTGCTGTGCCATCTTCATGATTGTTGGTATGTTTGAGTCCATTGTTGTGTCTTTTGTGTCAGTTTGTCTCATTGAGGGTTGCCCTTGTTTTAGCTGACCCTCTACCAAACATGATATCCTTTTCTAGTGATTCAGTTGGTCTTCCTGATGATATAAGTGAACTGAAGTTTCAAGATCCTTGATTCTAAGGAGCATTCCAGTTGCACCTCTTCTAAGAATGATTAGTTCATTCTTCTGGCATCCACGCCAAGACCACAGTTTGAATGCATCAATTCTTCTGTCTTCCTTTTTCATGCATAGAGGTGATTGAAAAGACTGTGGCTTGGCTCTGGTGCATCAAAGTGACCTCTTTGCTTTTGAAAATTTTGAAGAGTTCTTTTGCAGCAGGATTTCCCAGTTCAATATCATTTGATTTCTTGACCACAGCTTCCGTGGTCATCGATTGTTGATCCAAGTAGAACAAAATCATTGACAACTTCAGCTTCTTCAGTTATGATGTTGGTCCAGTTGTGAGAAGTTTTGTTTTCTTCATGTTCAGGTGTAATCCATACTGAATTTTTGACCTTCGTTTGTAAGTGCTTCAGGCCTGTCTTCATTTCTGGCAAGTAGGGTTGTGTGTTTGCATATTGTAGGTTATTAATGAATCTTCCTCCTATCCTGGTGCTGTGTCATTCTTCATAGATTTCAGCTTCTCAAATTTATTTGTTCAGCATGCAAATTGATTAAGTAAGGTGTTACACACCTTTTCCAATTTAGAAGCATGCAGTATCCCTGTTTTGTACAGATTTCTCATGAACACAGTTAAGTGTTCTGGAATTCCCATTCTTCGTAATGTTATCTGTAATTTGTTATGATCTGCACAGTCTAATTCCCATAGTCTATAAAACACATGTAAATATCTTTCTGGTATTCTGTGCTTTTAGCCAAGATCCACTGACAATACCAGTGACTTCTATCCCTCATTCCATGACCTTCTAAATCCAGCCTTCTAAATCCTTCTCAATCCAGTTGTCTGTTGATACAGGGCTGTGGTTATTTTTAAATTATCTTCAGCAAAATTTTGCTACTCTGTGATATTAATGGTACTGTTTAATAATTTCTTTATTCTGTTTGACCACTACAACATGGATGAATCTTGAAAACATGCTGTGTGAAATAACCAGACATAAATGGAGATATATTGTATGATTACACTTGCATGGAAGCATCTCTTGTTAAATGCCGTTGATTCCATTTTCACTCAGCGACCCTGTGCACCACAGAATAAAATGCTACCTGGTCCTGTACCAGCCTTTCAATTCCTGCTATGCTTGAGCCCATTGTGGCAGACACTGTGTCAATCCATCCTGGGATCTTCTTTGTCGCTGACTGTCTACTTTACCAAGCATGATGTCCTTCTCCAGGGACTGGTCCCTCCGATAACATGTCTAAAGCACGAGAGATAAAGTCTGGCCATTCTCACTTCTAAGGAACATTCCAACTGTACTTCTTCCAAGACAGATTTTTTTCTTCCTTTTGGCAGTCTGGTATATTCTGTATTCTTCACCAACACCACAATTTAAATGCATCAGTTCTTCTGCAGACTTCCTTACTTACTGCCCAGCACTCACATATATATGAAGCTATTGAAAACACCATGGCTTGGGTTAGGCACACTTTAGTTTTCAAAATGGCATCTATGCTCTTTAACACTCTTTTAAAGAGGTCTTTTGCAGCAGATCTGCCCAGTGCAATACATCATTTGTTGACTGCTCCTTCCATGGGCATTGGTTGTGGATCCAAGTACAATGAAATCCTTCACAACTTACCTTTTCTCCATTATTGTAATGTTGCTTATTGGTCCAGTGGTTTGGATTTTTGTTTTTTTATGTTGAAGTGTAATTCGTACTGAAGGCTGGAGTCTTTGAAATTCATCAGTAAGTGCTTCAAGTCTTCTTCACTTTTAGCAAGCAAGGTTGTGTCATCTGCATATCACAGGCTGTTCATGAGTCTTCCATCAGTCCTGATGCTGTGTTTTTCATATAGTCCAAGATCTCGGATTATTTCCTCATCATACAGACTGAATAAGTATAGTGAAAGGATACAGCCCTGACACACACCTTGTCTGATTTTAAACCACACAGTATCCCCTTGCTCTCTTTGAATGACGGCCTCTTTTATGTATTGCTTCCTCATGAGCACAGTCAGTGTTCTGGAATTCCTATTCTTCACAGTGTTTTCCATAATTTGTTATTATTCACACAGTTATCTAGTATAGGCACATCATAGAGATAAAAAGTGGTTACCATGGACTGAGGGGAGGAGGAAATGGGAGTTATTGCTTGATGGGTGCTGAGTTTCTGTTTGGGGTCATGAAGAAGTTTTGGAAACGGATAGTGGTGGTGGTTGTACAACATTGCAAATAGAATTATTGCCACTGAATTGTATATATAAAGATGGTTAAAATGACAAGTTTTATGTTACATATATTTTATCACAATGAAGAAAAAAAAGAATTTGTGATGTATGTCATAGAAAGTCTGAATTACGTATCCTTCAGTTTAAAGACCACTTCTCTACAGGATACTTTTTCTCAAACTTCAACCCAATGGTAAACTAATGCATGAGATAGTGTAAAAGCAAGGGGGGACAGAGAAAAGTAGACATTTTTCTGATACTGTTTGGTAGCAGGCGAGCACTACAAATGTCATGATTTGTGATCATATTTCTAAATTTCTTTAAAGTGCCCTCTCCTTTTTTAACTATGAGAATCTTTAAAAAAAAAAAAAAAAAACAGAAGAAATGTAATAGCATGGAAATTCTCTGTGTATTGAAATTTCAAGCTTTTGCCTTTTAAAATCATTTATACAGTTAATATCTACATTATTGAAAAATTTAGAGTTCCTTATGACATGAGATTGGTTGACATATCCTTCCATACTATATTACTGTGAGTAAAATTGACTATAAAATCCTTGGAAATCAAGGCGATTTGTTGCATTTTAATTATTAATTGACACTATTTGAAGGGTTTGTAGATGTATTCTTCTACTGCCACAGATTCAACCTTACCAAACTCAGAGTAAATAACATTAAAAAGTCAAAGGGTTGGAATATTGATTTCCCCAAAATATCACTGGAAAAGACTGTGATCAAGCAAAACGAATTTGATCCGATCTAACACACCTAGAAAAAAGACCCCCTTGAAAAGTCTTAACCTGTATCTCAAAGTGACGATATTAGAGAATGGTATTTAATAGGGTTTTTAGGGCTTTGGCCAGGTAATTTTAAGGTAAATTTTGTTAGGTGGGAAACAGATTAGACAATTTATGATATCATAATTTTGGATTGATGGGAACAAGGATTCATGTCTTGATGAGAAAGCTGGTAGGTGATTCACACCTTACTTTCCTGGAGCTTTATCTTCCAGATAAATCCTGGTACAAGCAGCTAAGTTATTTTTGCTCAGCCTCAGGGACAGAGAATTATATTAGACTGTATAGATCATAACAAATTATGGACAACATTACAAAGAATGTGAATTATAGACCACTTAATTGTGTTTGTGAGAAATCAGTACAAAATGGGGATACTGCATGGTTCTGAATTGGAAAAGGTGTGAGGCAGGGTTGTATCCTTTCACTTATTCAATCTGTATGCTGAACAAGTAATCTGAGAAGCAGATGAAGAATAATAACACAGCATCAAGATTGGAGAAAGACTCATTAACAATATAATTAAGCCAATATAATTCTTCCAAAGGAGGAAGACTCATTAAGATCCTGCAATAACTCAGGAACAGAGAATTATATTGGTTTCTATTCTTTTTACAAATTAAATCTGGATTAATTTACATGGATCATTGATTTGTTTCAGCTCTGCCCGAAGTTTTTACATACAAATTCTACTAGTCACACATGGCCATTCAGTGCAGTTGCTGAATTGATAGGTATGTAAATTGGAACTTAATATTTCTTATTTCTCTTAAGTGTTGCTTGCAATTGTAGTTTTTAAGAACTTTTTATGGAGAAATGATACATATATAGGTACTTAAAAAAATGTATCTTGAATGATAACACTATTGGTAAAGGTAAGCAGGGTAACCTAGCATAACATCTATTCAAATCATTGCTTAGTCTTCTTTAGTACTATTCAAGAATTTCATAGGTTTTAGGAGTTAATTTATTAAATTCATAAGATATTTACATTGAAAATACTTTTTGTTCTGATTGTAAAAGAAATATGCCTATTGTAAAAAATAATTTACATGTTGTAATAGTATAAAAGTATATGTAACTTTCAGAGCAGATTCATTCTCTGGCATTAGAGGATTAATGTTATGCTGGATTTGTGATAATAAATTCTTGCTTTCTTTCATCATAGGGTGATGATCAAGGTATAAGATCGTATTTTAATGAACATGAGGAATGAGGCAAGGTTGTGATGACATTGTGTTATGGAGCATATTGATTTGAAGTGGGGGCAAATTCCTATACATAATTATTTTTGAAAATTTAGGCATATATTTGAGAAACAGATAATAAAGGAAATTATATCATTAGGAACTCTTAGATATACTTTAGGTTCTTTATCATCAAGAAAGGATCCTGTCCAAAAATGACAGCAACAAGTTAATATTTGCTGATAATTACATATCTGGCAAGGAACTTATCTCTAAGATTGATGGAAAACTCCAACGCCTCAATACCAAAGGAATTAACAATCCAGTTGAAAAATGGGCAGAAGACATGAATAGACACTTCACCAAGGAGGATATTCAGGTGGCCAGCTAATACATGAAAAGATGCTCACAATCATTGGCCATCAGAGAGATGTAAATCAAAACAACAATGAGATATGCTGTCTCACGCCAGCACTGATGGCAAGGTTCAATGAGACAGAAAATAACAAATACTGGTAGGGATGTGGAAATATTGGGACTCTCATACACTGCTTGTGTGACTGTGAAGTGACCCAACCACTATGGAAAGCAATATGGTGATTCCTTAGAAAGTTGGAATTGGAGATACCATTTGACCCAGAAATTCCATCACTAGGTATATATCCTAGAGAGGTGAGAGCCAGGATAGGAACAGATAGATCACACTCATGTTCATTACAGCACTATATATATAAAAAAAGGGTCCTGTCTTATATGTGCAATAAAAAGAAAATAAAGAACTCTTGGGTACCTTTTTTCTTTTTGGTATAGTTGGATTATCCAAATTATCCCAGCTGACATATACTCTTTGGGCATGGTCGTTTGTTTTAAATCCAGAAGTGGATCTACTGTAACATTACAGCTTTTCATGGCCATTCTTTTTCTATAGCAATTTATAAGTGCTACCCAACCTGGGATTGTTTGCTTATGTAGAGCAACTGAAAGTCATAGTGCTCTTTGTGGTGTAGCAAATTTTAAGTTTTCTGTGAAATACCATCTTTTAAAAAATGGTTACAAAAAATTATTTAATTTTAATTGTAAACTGGATTGTGGAAGGATAGTTTGAGAACCATTATTCATATTATAGAAATAATTTCAAAGTATACCTCAGAGTATTTTCAGTCAGAGTATTTAAATAGATCTTAGATAGTTTAAAAGTTGATTACTACAACTTTTCAGTTTTTTTTTTTCCATTTTCTTTTATGCATTTCTTCATACTTAACTATTCTGAGAAACAGGTGTGCTAAATGGTAAAATGGGGAAGTATACAGAGATAATAATGAAAGGGTAAAAGCTACCAGAAGCTTTGGTTAGCTTGAAAAGGACCACAATTTGAAGACCTATGCAGAAGGTAAATCTTCATCTACGTAGCATTAACTGTGTTGCATGTCTTCCATGTCAACTCATAAAGTTAAGTTGACACTCCCATTTTCCTTATGATAGCCAGGCAGGTTCTTTGGACAGAAGATATCCCCTGTCTTAATAATCCTTCTTCCTTTACACTTTTTAAATGTATCAGGTACCAACATTTGCCCTCTCTGTAGTATAGGAGAGCTTTGGAAAAGAATTAACTTCTGTAATAGTGTGGTAGTTAAGGTTATGTGTCAGCTTGGCTGGGCCTGGTTTTTAGTGAATGGGCAGCTGGATGTAGTGATTCCCCATGATGAGACTGGTAGTCAGCTCTGTGGTGAAATCTGCTGTGAGCATCTGAGTAGCTGCCTTAACGGATGTGGTCTGCTTCCAGTACATAAGAAGCAGCTTTGAGAAATGTCTTAGAGCTTTTTGGCATACTTGGATCCTGCATTAGCTAAGACTTCATTCAGTAGTCTTCCGTGTTGCCTGCCAAATTTGGGACTGTGTCTGGACTTGAACTAGTGGCTTGCCATGTTGCTCGATAATCTTGAGATTGTGCTGTTTTACTTGTCGACCTTGGGTTTGTCAGCCTCAGCAGCCAGCAGCTGCCTGAGTTAAGACACTCCTCCAGCTCCAGTGGGCCAGGAGCAAGAGGCAGAGCTGAAGCCCAAGGTCAAGGGACCGTCACCCAGCCCCTAGAGCTGGCACTTTGAATGTGGATGTCTAGCCTCCTGCACTGTAAGAGAATAAATTCCTGTTTGTTAAAGTCATCCACTTGTATTTCTGTTAGAGCGGCACAAGAAAGTCAAAATAGTCAGTGAATATATAGCAGGATATAGTTTAGTTTTGAGTTTTCAAATCTTAAAGAGTTCATAATCATTTCAGCTTTTTATAAAGTGTTCTACAGAAAGAATCATTCTTTGAAGATTACCAGGGGTAGAAGGGGAAGGGAGGGAAAATCACCAACTAAAGGGTAGATACCTATTAATTTGGGTGAATGGAAAGGCAATATACAATAAGGAGGAGGTGAGCACCGACTGATCAAGGCAGTGGAAGACATAGGCATGAGTACAAGAGTTAAAGACAATGGTGGTTAATACTGTGACACACAATCCTGCAACAGCAGTAATAACAGTAATCTATGAGTGGCTACAAAGGTAGATACTGAAGTTGAACAGAGATGGCAAGGTGAATGGGACTACACCAACAAACATATACGGGTTTGACAGAGGCTAGCTCTACCTATGTATTTATTTGTGCTTCAGATATGTCCATGAATGTAATAGAGCATATGGGGGGGCAAAGTTATGAAAACTATTTAGTTATAACCAATCACCTTGATGGAATGAGTCACTGGGCATGGGAGCTCAGGACTGTGGTCTTAGGGGGGACAGTAAGGTCAGTTGACATGACGTAGTCCACAAAGACACTGCTGTACATCACTTTGGTGAGTAACATCTGGGGGCTTAAAAACTTGTGAACAGCTACCTATTGGCCTTTCCCCATCCTGCAGCAAAGAAGAGTGAAGAAAATAAGATGGAAGGAAACATTTAGTCCAAAGGGTTAATGAATCACACGAACCCCAGCCTCTACAACTCTGAGACTGAAAGAACTACATGGTACCTGTCTACCATTGCTGACCTTTGTGAAAGGGATCACAATAGGAGGTCTCAGATAGAGTGGGGGAAAGTGTGGAATAAAAAATCATAAAAAGACCACACTTACTAGTCTGATGGAGACTGGTAGAACCCCTGAGATAGTGGCCCTTAGGCACCTTCAAGCCAGGAACTGAACTTAATTCCTGTGACTCGACTTTCCCAAAGATAGGTAAACAGTGATAGCAGGAGGGTATGCACTCATTAGAACAGTCAAACATATAAGATCAAGAGGACAATATTTGTCCAGAGATGGAGCTAGGAAGGTAGGAGGGGATAGGTAGGAAGAACTAAGGGAAGGAGTGGGCTCAGGGAGGAAGTGGAAAGAATGCTGTTACAATACAGAGATTGCAGTAAAAGTCATAAAACAATGTTTGTGGATTGTGGAATGGAAAGCCAGTATGCTGTGTACACTTCCACCTAAATAATAATTAAAAACAGTAAGCAAGAAAAATAGTAAAAGGTGTTCTATTGTTTGTTAAAGGATTATTCTGCACTAATTGTTTTAGAATCACAATTTCTGAGCTAAATTTTTATTTCCCAGATAATGCTTATGATCCTGATGTGAATGCTAAACAGATATGGATTGACAAAACAGTGATAAATGGCCATATATGCTTGACATTCACTGATAATGGGAATGGTATGACTTCAGATAAATTACATAAAATGCTAAGGTATGTAAAAATGTGCCATGTTTTTTTGAAAGAATGCTTTTTTTATTAAAGGGTTTCATGTATTTTACTTACTGCTCTTAGTTTGCGTTTTAAACATGTAATGCCACAATGTATTCTGTTCTCTAAGAATCATCCCCATTGTTTATTATTGTTGTGTTATATTAGGCAGTTGCCACCATTGTTATTGCCCCTGCCCTTTACCTGGCTATTTAAAATTTCCCCATACCTTTAGAGCTGTGGCACATTGATATCAGTTTATGTTTTAGTGTAAATTAGTTTTAAGCAGTTTTTGGGAGGGTATGCTTTTAAAGGAATTCAGCTCTGGTGGTATAATGGATAAGGAGTTTGGCTGCTAACCAGAAGCCAAACATGTAATCCTTATGCCCCTGTGATGAAGATTTGATTCTTCTTCACTTCAGAGATGGGGAAACATATCAAGATAAAGTAGTTTTCCCAAAATTATACAACTAGGAATGGTGATGCGAGCATTCGACCCCAGGCTTTTTACTTGGTGTTAACGGTTGTTGAATTAAGGAAAAAAAAAAAAAAAAGATTATTGACAGTTATTGAAAAAAATCTTTTTTTTTCTTTTTAGCTTTGGCTTCAGTGACAAAGTCACCATGAATGGTCATGTCCCAGTTGGATTATATGGGAATGGCTTCAAGTCAGGTTCTATGCGTTTGGGTAAAGATGCAATTGTTTTTACCAAAAATGGAGAAAGCATGAATGTGGGCTTCTTGTCTCAGACCTACTTGGAAGTCATTAAAGCAGAACATGTTGTTGTCCCAATAGTGTCATTCAACAATCACCATATCCTTTTGGTTTGGAAATAGAAACCGGAGAGACTGAAGAAACATTGCTGACCTGTGTGACGCTTCTGCTTTCCTCTAAATTCTTGTTTTTTAATCACACCTTCCCTTCCAGTTCCTCTCCCTGTCTACTGCTTTTACCCTATTTCTGAGGCTAAGCGCTTGTACCCATCCCCTGTTGGAATTTTGACATGGAAATGATTAACATAAAGTAATTATATTTTATGTTAAACTTTCCATAGCATTCCTCTTTATTTCAGGCTTGTTTTGGACTAATAGGACTTTTGTGGTCTGGTTTGAAAATTTAACTAATGACCATGAAAAGCAAGATGTATTTAGGAAAATGCCTTCTGTATAAACATACTCAGATATTAGAAACTATTAAGCTGTTGTTGTTGTTAGTTGCCATCAAGTCAGTTCTGACTCATAGTGACCCTACATATAACAAAACACTGCCTAGTCCTGTGTCATCCTCACAATCATTGCCTGCTTGAGTCCATTGTTGCAACCACTGTGTGTGTCTGTCTCATTAAGGAGCTTCCCCTTTTTCGTTGACTCTCTACCCAGCATAATACCCTTCTCCAGGGACTGGTCCCTTCTGATAACATGACCAAAGTATGACAGATGAAGTCTGACCATTCTTGCTTCTAGATTCTGGGTGTGCATCTTCTAAGACAAATTTGTTCAGTCTCCCGGCAGTCCATGGTATTTCAGTATTGTTTGCTAACTATTAAATTAGTAGGGATAATCATAAAACTTGCTCATTTTTTATCCTTTCTGTGGTTCATTTAAAATTGACCTGCCAGTTACAAATGTACGAAATAGTTTTCCTGTTTTTTTTCCTCCTGTTTTTCATTAGAGTGTTTTCCATGTTCTAATTATGAAAAATAAATTGATGGTTTAAATCTTTAACTTAGGATATACGACAGATGATTAATTTGACAGAATCAAAAGCAAGCCTTGCTGCAATTCTGGAACATTCTCTGTTTTCTACGGAACAAAAAATACTGGCAGAACTTGATGCTATTATGGGTAAGAAGGGGACGAGGATCATCATTTGGAATCTTAGAAGGTAAATGTAGACCTCAGCTAGTTGACCATTTGGGAAGTTAAGTTCATGTTTAAGGATGGTTTCATTGTGTCCATCCAGTGTTAGCAGAAATGAAGTACATGGAAAGGTATTGTGGCCTAGTTAATGATTTGTTTTTCTACGGATATTTTATAGATATCACTTTGCTAAAAGTCTATTTCCTATCCTTGCCATTCAGTTTGCATTAGCGCTCTAGTCTCTCCTTGTTCTTCTTGGAGGAAAAAAAAAAAAAGTAAACATAAATCTAGCTAACAAGTCCAGCATGTGAAAGGTAGGAACAGATGTCTTTGTTCATTACTTAAAACTAAGCATTTAGAGGGTGCTGAGGATTTAGAAGAACCTTGGTGGCACACTGGTTAAGCGCTTGTCTTCTCACAGGTTGATGGTTTGAACCCACCCAGTGGCTTCCCAGGAGAAAGACCTAGCAGTCTCCTCCCTAGAAAACTTTATGGGGCAGTTCTACTCTGTCATGTGAGGTCAAAATCAAGCTTAATGGCAGCCAACAATAAGAGCCATGATTTAGCATCTAGAGAGAAAGGTAGTTGAGATAAGAGTTTTGTGTTGCTAAATATGTAGTCCTTATCCTTGTGAGTATTAAAGTCTTTCCAAATAAAAGTTTTTACATTTAGGATTAATATGTATATTGAGTGATAGAACACATTGAGCCACAGGAATAAGGGGTAATAATGGTAAACCTAAAACTTAAATGCATTTCTGACCTGGATTCCTTTTAATTTTTTTCCCTTTGGTTTCATTCCTGCCCCTCCTTCTCCCTGTGGTGTTGTGTTGTTTTAGTTAACATTTTTATTTTGAGATTCCTGTAGATTCATGTGCAGTTTTAAGAAATAATACTGAGATTCCATGTATCCTTTACCCAGTTTTGCCCTTTGGTAGCATCTTGCAAAACTATAGTACAATATCACAGCCAGGATATTGACATCGATACAGTCAAGATTTAGAACATTTTAATTACCACAGGGATCCATCATGTTGTACTTTTATAGCAGCACCCACTTCCTCTCTCTACTCCTTTATTAACCTCTGGCAACCTCTACTCTTTCTTCCTTTTCTACAGCTTTGTCATTTCAAAAATGTTATATAATGTTACTTTTCACTCAGCATAATTCTCTGGAGATTTATCCAGGTTGTTGTGTGTATCAGTAGTTTGTTCCTTTTTGTTACTGATTAGCATTGCATTATATAATGTACCATACTTTGTTCAGCCATTCACCTGTTGAAAGATACCTGGGTTGTTTCCAGTTTTTGCCTGTCACACATAAAGCTGCTGTGAACATCTGTGTATAGATTTTTTTAGGAAGATAGTCTTCATTTTTCTGGGATAATGCCCAGGAATATAATTGTTGTTTCTTATGGTAGTTGCCAGTTGTTTTCCAGAGTGGCTGTACTGTTTTACATTCCCATTAGCTTATATGAGTGATCCATTTTCTCTGCATCTTCCTGGGTTCCTTTTCTTTTTCTTTTGAACCACCCCCACCCTTGTGTAGTAGTATTGTTTTGCCTTGCTCTTAACTGTTTTTAGTATTAGTGGTGTATCTTGCTCTGGAGTTAAATTTTACCTTCTTCAAAAAATTACTTTTACAGTTACAAAAATGGAGCAACAGAATTTGATTTTGATAAGGATAAATATGACATCAGAATTCCTGAGGATTTAGATGAGACAACAGGAAAGAAAGGGTACAAGAAGCAAGAAAGAATGGACCAAATTGCCCCTGAGAGTGACTATTCCCTAAGGGTATGTATTCAGCTCTATTTGTGCAACTGAGAAAACTATCAAATAATGAAATTATTAGTAGAGCTTATGTTACGCAGTTGTATTATTAATGGTGCTAGTGATCTCTGAATGAAAGTATCTCAGATGTGAATGAACTTACTAAACTTTTCATGAGGGCACTAACCATGCTTAAAAACCCTTTTTGTTTTAATTGCCAAGTCATCAGGTATAAATAGGGCTTGTAGTTCTTTTATTATATGGTGGAGTTTTTTGAGTTGGGAATACTGGAATCAATATATAAATCATGTGATAAATATCGATGAGATTTGTCTTTAGAAATGATTATATCTTCAAGATTAAAGAAATTATATAACAATGGTGAGTGATCCTGATACAGCAATTAATTATGACAATAAAAATATTAAGATTCTTATTATGTGATACTAACTTTTCACATTATTTTATGTGCTATAATTATTCCATCAGCTGAGGATATATTTGATTTACAAGTTTACTATGTAAATTTTTCTGTGGTCCTTGCAAGTATTTGCTGTTCCTGATCTACCCAATATGTGATGTTTTTAGTACACTGATGAAGTGTAGACTATTAGAAGATATTATTAATGAATTTTAGAAATAACAAAACACCACTTCTTTTGAAATCAGAGGGAAAAAATAAGAAGAATTTTAGTATTGTTTTGAACCTTTCTCCTGTCTTTTTTGAGTTATTCAGTGCTTTCCTTCAGAATGTTCTGATAGCTTTGGGAACAGCCACAGGAGAGCATATTTTAACATATTTTAGGGCACTTAAGTTTGGTTGGGCTACTAAAGTATCTGCACTTTGCTGCATTAAGCATTGAAAACATGTTTGGATGACTGTTGATTGTTATAATTTAATTTTAAAAAGCATTATGCTCACCTACTCTGTGTAAATGTTATTTACTTAAATTTTTTTCTTTGTTAAGCTTTTAATATTGCCTTTTGTTTATATTATTTCTTGGCTCTTTTTTTTTTTTTTTTTGGCCTAAATAAAAATTATCTTATTGTTGCTCTAAAAATTATAACAAAATATATACTTGACATAAAAATTTAAACATGTAGTCCTCTTTGTGAAGATACAATTTTTTAAAAAAGAGATCATGCCATATACACTGTTTTGTAACTTTTTTTTCACTTAATAATAGATTAACATTTATATAGGTGAATAGATTGTTGTTTGCAACATTTTTACTGATCTCAGTGTATTGAATTTATTTTAGTAAAAAAAGTAATTAAATCAGAATAACTAGTACAACTTTATAGTCTGCATTATTTTATTAAAGAGTTAATGGGTGTTTTATTAAGAGAAAGTAATTTCTTTATATTTAAACTGGTGACTAAATAGTATCAAACAGATCTGTTGATAATTATTTGGAAAGGACACGTGGTGTTATATGTCTTTTCAGGCTTACTGCAGTATATTATATCTGAAGCCAAGAATGCAGATCATCTTACGTGGACAGAAAGTGAAGACACAGCTAGTTTCAAAGAGTCTTGCCTACATTGAACGTGATGTCTATCGACCCAAATTTTTGGTATCCTTTGGTGTATTATAGAGATACACCAGTCAAGCTTTTATTCCCTTTGCTCCTCTCCCCTTTTCCCCTTAATGGATTCTTATCCTCCAACTTTGCCATTCCTTATGCCCTTTGGACTGAAAAGATGAAGGGGAGATGGTGGTGTTCTCAGAATTTTCCTTAACATTTTAAGACTAGAACAGTGAGAATTACTTTTGGATTCAACTGCAGAAATAAAGATCATTACGGGATAATGATGTATCACCGGAATAGACTCATCAAAGCTTATGAAAAAGTTGGATGTCAGTTAAGGGTAAGCTTTATTATATTTGAAAGGAAACTGTGTACATTACAAAAAAATATAGTGTTAATAGGTCACATGTGAAATCATTTTACTGTTTTTTGACTGACTTTTAAATGTCAATCTCTCTTTAATTGGTATAGCACTTGAACTTGGAATACTTTCATATTTCTCATTTGATCCTAAATAGTCTCATAAGGTAGCAGGATATTTACTCTATTCTTATTTTACTGATAAGGAAATTGGGACTCACAGGGTAAGTGACTTTCCTAAGATCTCACAATGAGTATGGGTCTCAGACAAATACAGATTTTTTTTTTTTTAACTCTCTGTTTAGTGATGATTTCCTGTTTAAAAACCATAACACTAAACTAACTGCCACCAGCTTGATTCCAACTCATATAGGAGCCCTATAGGACAGGGTGGGAGCTCTGGTAGCATAGTGGCTAAGGCACTTGACTGCTCACCAGATGGCTGGCAGTTCAAACCCATCAGCCGCTCCTCGGAAGGAAGGTTGGGCAATCCTACTTCCCTAGTGATACTGCCTCAGAAACCCAAGGAGGGGTCGCTATGAGTCAGGGCTGACTCAACGGCACATAACAACAACAACATAGGACAGGGTAGAACTGCCCTGTAGGATTACAAGGCTGTAAATCTTTACGGAAGCAGACTGCCTCATTTTTCTCCTGTGGAGTGGCTACTCATTCAAGCTGCTGACCTTTTTGTTATCAGCCAAATGTTTTAACCACTGTGCCACTAGAGTGCCTCTATTTCCTACTAACAGAATAAAATTGAGTAACTTTAATTAGTGCTGGTGCAAGCAGCCTGAACAACAGTAACTGACAGGTGATTTGGTTTTCTGGTAATTGTTTCTAAATATGTTAGTGCCTTCCTCCAATACCATTCCCATTGTTGGTGAATTCACTTTTGGATGAAGAACACAGCCCACCATGTCAGTCTGTGTATTCTTTACATGTTCTCACAGAGGTTTTTTTTTGAGAGTGGGGTATATGTGTTTTAAGAAATCAGTGATAATTCTGAAAGTCAACTTTGTTGGTTTTAATGCTAGGCATAGTTTTTTTGTTTGTTTTTCAGTTCTATAGTTTTCTTTTCCATCTTTTTTTCATTTTAAGTGCTTTATAGAATGATGTGAGCTATATGTATTAAAATAGTGTGGGTTTATCTTGAACATGATTCAACTGGAGTTGTAAGTCTCCTTCACCTACTTTACATGACATGAACTCCAAATAAGTATTTTTGCAGGAATAAATGAAATTTGTAGGCTCTTCTTTGCAATCACTAATTTTGTTTGGAACATAAACCCCAAAATCTGGCAATGTGATAATGAGGTACCAGTGACTTTTATCATCTAGGCTAGTTTTCATTTGTAATTGAAATATTTTATCAGAAACAGTCTATAATGCTCTATTTAAGTTACTGATTTTCCCTGGTTATTGGAAATAAATTTTTGGTAATCCTCTCATTCCTCAAGTGCTTTAGGATTCAAAAGAAATAATGCTGAAGGTAAAGTAAATATTTTTCTTTTATCATTTGTGAATCTGATATATAACCTATTTTTCTAACCAATTAAATTGGCCCTGTATATAATTGCTGGTTAAGCTTGCTCATGTAAAAATAGGCTGTTAAAGCCAACTTTTAATGTTTGTCTTTACCAGAAGATAAACTGGCCCTAGTATTTGCATTCTCTAGATTTAATAAACATTTATTACATAGGTGTCAGATACCTGGTACGATTTGTTTTATTAGATGTTTTGGATATAAAGATAAGATACAGAGTATGCCCTGAAAGAGCTCAGTTTGGTGAGTGGAATGTGGAACAACCATAGAACATCAGAAAAGGCTTCACGGAGAAAGTGGTGATTGAAATGTGTCTACTGTGTTGGAAAGTCTGGGGGAGGGCAATCCAGGTATAGGAAAGAACATTTGCAAAGTAAGGGAAAAGGAGGCTTTTGAGAGTATGACATACTGCGGGAGTAATTTCTATGACTAGACCATGATGAAAATGAGGAACAGGAGTGGAAGAGAGGCAGGAAGATGACACTGGAAAAGTGGACAAGATCCACTCCTTAAAGGGCCCTTGTTATCACTAGATTTAGAAGTGGTAAGAGATGAGGAACTGTTGGTGTTTAGTAGAGCAAGATTATGGTCTCATTTGAAAGCCTTAGTCGATAGTTGTGTTCATGAAAATTGTCATTTTACGAATTATTCTTTCAGTTTAATTTTCTTTCTAGATGTACTTAGACTCAGAAAAAAGTTACTATTTGAACAAAATGCACTTGTTCATTTTTTTCTAGGTAATTAGAATATAACTGATGCATGTTAAGTTAAATATTTTAGCTAACAGGTTTAAAAATAATTTTAATTCAATCAGCTTAGGTTTTTATTTCATTTCCATTAACTCAGTGGGTAAATGACTTTTATATGGCAAATTTAGGGAATATTGTATACCTTGGCTAGACATTGTGAATATAAGGTGAATTAGTTGTGGTTTCTACTTTCTAAGAAATTGCTTCCTATTAGTGGTGGTTTCTTTTCCGTTCTGTAAAATTGAGTATGATCATAGTTCTCTATGATCATGGATATCTGTCAGTGTGAAAGTGGTTTTGAAGAAGTCTCTAATATATTTAGGAGTTTACTCCCAGAAAAGAATGTTGTACACTATTTTTCAGTCAAAATTTCATGAGGTACTTAAAAGAATAATATGAAATAAAATACTGGAAAGTGCTTTATACAAATAGTATATTTTTGTGTAAGGGTAGTATATGCATCATGCCTTATGCTTAAAATGCTTGTTTCGTTTTATTTTTCAGGCAAACAACATGGGTGTTGGAGTAGTAGGAATTATAGAGTGTAATTTCCTAAAGCCAACTCACAATAAACAAGATTTTGATTATACTAATGAGTATAGGTATGTTACCTATATAAACTATTTATTTAAAAGTTTACTTTAGAAATACTTTCATAATTTTTCTAAGCTGAATTTTTTTTTTTTTACCATTTTGTGG